GGGACTTGAGAAATAGCTCAGTAACAGGCTGTTTGGTGGGACAGTGTGGGCAGATGGGCTGACTAGATAATGAAATGGCCAGGTACCTGAAATGTGATACTTTGTCTTGATGCTGCTGTTACCATTAAATCTATTCTGACTGCAGTTGTGCAGTGCAGATGTGTTCTCCCTGTAACAGCATTGTTTCCGTTTTCTTCATAAATTTTCTCTGCTCAACTGGTGTTTTGTAACCAAGGTGCTATTTTTAACATGATATCCAGAGTTTCCTGAGGCAAAGGCAGAGATCTTTAGGAGCCAAAACTGTGACTAATTATTATAGCTCTCCAGCACCTCCTCTACTTGGCTTTGAAAATGAACAAATGAGAATATTCTTACTACTTTTTTTTTTTTTTTTAATATGGACATGGAAGATCCAAGTTGCTCCCTTGAAATTCTCTGCCTTTAAAATGCCAGAATGTGTCTTCTCAAGTCCATAATGGATTCTTACTATATTCTCTACTTAAATTATACAACTTCTTTATTTACTATTTCTGTGAAAATGACACTGCGGCAGCTAGACCAGCACTGTACAAATGTGTAGTGGAACAGTTGACTCAGAGATCTTAATCTCCTCAGATAAAATCTGCAGGAGCCGGGCAGAGGAGAGGAATATAGAGAATCAATGTGGCCAAATTTATACAAGCTATTGGTGGTAGGTTTGACTCACTGCTGGATTTGCTTAGATGAATCAGACAGAAGGTCTTCTCTTCTCCCATTAGTAATAGCCCAGAGAGAGCGTGTGAATCCTGCAGTAGGCAGATGTTGCAGTGTTGTGTAGTAGCCATGTCTGTTCTCCCACCATAGATCTTGGCCTCACTGATACAAATTTGATACTGCCATGAGCTCTGAAGTATGAGATTAGATATTTCTCCAGACAAGCATGTTATAATTAGCACATCTTAAATACTAAATAATTGCCTAATTCTCTACTTATATCTTGAAAATTCGTGATCTCTGTCACTTTGTGTCAGTAATGTTGGTGAGAGTGTGCAAATCTTATTGTAGTTTTGCTTTTGCCATTTCCTGCTTCCTAAATCAAACCCCTTATTTTAAATGTGAATGTTTGAATTTTCCTTTTATTAGAGCTGTCACAGGTGATCTCTGAGAAAAGAGGATTTCTATAAGCAGCTTTCTGAAGAATGTAAGAAAAAGAGATAGTATTTCTGGGTTTTTTATTCATAGATAAATGGTCATTCCAGTCTTCATTTTAGTGAGATGATACAGATTTTTAGACTGTGTTATTTGCCCATTTGTAATTTGAATCTAGCTAGAGATCTATTTCATGAATCATCCAACTAATACAGTGAATTACCTGTCCCTGCTTTCATGGTGGATTCAAATTCCTTTGAAGCTTTTCTTTCTGCATCAAGTCATGACTTGCCAAAGGCTTTGCAAGAAGGTTTGGCACACCGTAGGTAAAAGAAAAACTGTCAGATAAACTTTTCCAGCACAGCAGATTCAATGAGTCTGTACCCATCCATTACAGGATTATCATTGCAATAAAGTTATGCTTAGAGAAAACACCTTTTGGGATTTCTCTGTGAACAGAATAAATACGGCTTGCAGAAGACAGCACAGCATAGTTTTCAAAATTACTTTGTTCTATTTGTTTGTTTTTCTCTGAGGTATTTATAATTTTACCAGCTGTATATTGCATGATCACATGAGGCCAGCATTTCCCTCTTCTACTTGTGCGAACAGGAATCTTTTAAGTTGCTCAAGTGAAGGGTGGGAGAGTAGTATGCTGTAATTTCTATGGTATTTCTGATCAGAAGAGGTGTTCACGTCATGTGTACCAGTTTGGAGGATGAGGAGGGGCAGCGAGGAGAAAAATATAGAAAAAGCTAAAGGCTGCATAAGAGTACCCAAATGTTTTATCCCTTTTTAGTCAATGTGAAACTACAGTTATTGGATGGAACTGTTGAAACTAGTGTTACTGAAACTGGTGAAACTAGTGCTATTGAGTTTCCATGGACTGGAAAGAAGCGATGCACCATTTCTGAGTCTGTTCTGAAAGCCTTTTACTTTCTTGTTGCTCTCAAAATGAGTTTCACATCTAGATCATTACAAATATTTGCTTGTGTTAATTAAAACAAAATCTAGCATTAAAAATTGCAACACTTAAATCTATTTGATATAGTTTATACAGACCTTTTAAAACATGTGTAGTAGCTTTAATGAAGCAAGAAATATTTGGCTTGCATACAGTCAGAATAGCATAAGCAAGATGCTGGTCTTGGCACCAAAACGGTATAGCTATTGGTCTCCAATATTGCAGTCACGTGTTGTTGTTTTGATCCTGTTTTTTTCAAGAGGCAGTAGAGTTAGTACTCTTTGAGTTTACAACATGATGTCAGCCGTAAAGGATTACGACATCATTAAAAGTAGATGTAATTGAATGAGATATTTTCAGCTTGTGTTTAGCTTAAAAATATTTTCACATGGTTGTAAAGCCAAATAAGTTGAAAACTAACTTCCAAACTGTTAGACATAAAACAAGCAAACCAACAATAAAAAAACCCCACAAGTTCCAGAGAGATTTATAAAGCCTTACATAATGCCAGGAGGACCGGTGAATTTATGCACCAAAAGAAGCAAGGCCAGAAAAAGCAGTAGTGAAATGATGACAGGAGACTTAGGTTGGGATAGATCATTCCCACTTGCAGCTTTCATTTCTCTAAATGCAGGCATTGTAACAGGAATGCTTTTGGTGTAGAAACATTTTCATCTCATTGATTTATTGTTATACTTAATATAAATGCAATTCTATCAACATACATGAGTTTTTCAGCACAACTTATCTCTTTCTTACATGAAAACAGTTTAAAAGCACCTTTATAGTGCTAATTCTACTATATTTTCATTTAAGTACTGAGAAAAACTTTGCGTGCAAGGGAATATGGAAATATTTTTATGTAAATACTTATTATATAGAGAATATTTTTAATATATTAATAATACGTCTCTATATAAATGTATGCATCTGTGTTTAATCGTTAGACTAAAGATCCATATGTCTTGTCTTGAAGGCGGGATGGGGTCTTTACCATTGCCTGATACGCGCTGACATGGGAGAATTTGTTAATGGTAACACAAGCACTGAAGCAAGAACTTGATTAGAGCAAGTGGGAGCATGTTTGCATAATATCTCAGTATGGTGGCAACAGGAACAGACTTCAGCAGTCTGGAAATGCAGAGGACAGAATTATGGCCTGAAGTACATTAGAATCATGGTTTCAGACAGTTGTTAGTGTTCTCTGCAGTAATTGAGTAATAGCTGATAGAGAAAAGAAGATTGAGGGGGGGGATCTTATTAATACTTACAAATACTTAAAGGGAGGGTGCCAGGGGGATGGGAGCAGTCTTTTTTCAGTGGTGCCCAGTGATAGGACGAGGGGTAATGGGCACAAGCTTGAACACAAGAAGTTCCATCTTAACATGAGGAGGAACTTTACCTTGAGGGTAGTGGAGCACTGGCACAGGCTGCCCAGAGAGGTTGTGGAGTCTCCCACTCTGGAGACATTCAAAACCCGCCTGGACGCCGTCCTGTGCAATCTGTTGTAGGTGACCCTGCTCTGGCGGGGGGGTTGGACTAGATGATCTCCAGAGGGCCCTTCCAACCCTGACCATTCTGTGATTCTGTGATTCTGATGGCTAGAGTGAATCCTGCACATTTCATCACTTATTAGTGGAGACTGATTTCAGGATGATTGACTACTGTCGAAGCAGGTATAATAGTGTGTCATAGAGTGAATGGGGAGCCACACTGTTGATTGCTCATTTGAACAAGTAAGGAAATGTAAAGCTTTTTGTGTTGTAACTTCTAGGTCTTGAGAGTAGATTTTTAATTGCTCAGCCCTGGATTCTTTTTTCATAATTACAAAACAAGCTACTGATGGAGAATTTTTAAATTTCTGAAAGAGTAAAATTAATAAGGGGTAAAATTCATGTCATGAGGGGGCCAGGAGACTTGAAACCACGTAAAAGGAATTTTAATGTCATAATGTGCAAGACATTCCTTGGCTCCTTGCAATAACAACATGTCAACATGTTTTTGTCTGCTTGACGATATGTAGGAAATGCCTTTGATTTTGTAAAATTGCATGTAATTTCTCAACATTTCTTTTCGATTCTATTGATTAATGCTTTTCTGCCTTGCCTAAAGACATTAAATAGCAAACCATCTGCTAAAAACAGATTGGCAACATTCCTGAAAATTAACATTAAAAAAAAAAATTAGTCTAAATATATTTCAAAGAATGTTCCTATATGTGTTCTGATACAAAGAGGAAAACAAAAGCTTCTGTTACAGTATGGCAAAAGGGTTGCTGGACCTGGTCAGATACTGGTATTGTCCTTGTACTCTGGAGAAAGAGATGATGACCATAGCAAAAAAGCACACAGGTACCAGATGATGTACTGTATTAGTTTCATTACAAACTCTGGCCCACGTGGCTGTGTGTTTACCACCTGTATCAGTTATACAGGAATTGATGGATAATCGGCCATTCAGCCCAAACTACTCTGTGCGGTTGTCAGCAGTGAAAACATGCTGATTGTAGTTGCTAGCTTTATGGACGTAAGTGTAGGTTATAAAGTAATCCTCATCCTCCCAAGTTTTATTAATATAACGAGGTGGTAAGTATAAAACTGGCATAATCATGGAGAATGATATATTTTTTTAAAAATTACGTTTTGTTATACTCACCAATGATTTTCTAAATATGCTGTGTTATTATCTTTGTGTGAGCAGCTTTTAGGCTGTGAGTGGCTATGCTGAAGTTGAGAATATGCTTTTCCTGGTTTGAATAAAAATTCTCAGTACGTTTGCAGTGTCCAGACAAAAATAGGGAGTAAGTTTCTTGACAGGTTAAGATAAAGAGCTTGTGCATTTAACCTAGCTTTTGTGGCAGGTTTTGCCAGGTAAGAATGCCATGTAACTTCCGGAAAAAGTTGATTAGCTGCCCCAGGGAAAGAAGGTACAGGGAGGCAGGATTACTCAATACTGTTTGTGTCGGCACAGATTCAATGGAGGATAATTCTGGATATACTGATCACATCAATGCTTATAAATATCTAAAGGGTAGGTGTCAAGAGGATGGAGCCAGACTCTTTTCAGCTGGGCCTGGTAACAGGTCAAGCGACAACTGGATAACTGGAACACATGAAATTCCATCTCAACATGAGGAAGAACTTTGAGGGTGACAGAGCACTGGAACAGGCTGCCCAGAGAAGTTGTGGAGTGTCCTTCTCTGCAGATACTCAAAATCCTCCTGGATGCATTCCTGTTCAACCTGCTCTAGGTGAACCTGCTTTGGCGGGGAGGGGAGGGGGGGTTGGACTAGGTGATACCTTCCCTACCATTCTGTGTGATTCTGTGATACTTGTTTCTTCAGCAATGGGATTATCATTTTAACCTGTCCACTTAAGACAAACTTTAAATAGTGAAGTCATCTATGCAGGTACTGTGCATTTGCACCCTTTCTGCTACTAAAAAGATACGAGGTCTTTACATGAAAGTGAGAATAAGCAAGTCCTGGTAAGGGCTGTTTTGTCTTGAGATTTTCCCTTACATTAAAAACCTTAAGATATTGATGGATATTAAATTTTTTTTTTCATTACATTCCTTCCACACAACAGAGGGTCCCTCGACTAAGTTCTCAGTGTGAATGTACCTGAAGTTCTTGCTCTGAATTCTTTCCTCTGCTGGACTCACATAAATTACTGTCACTGCCAAGCTGCAGTAATTCATATATCTGAGGTATTGTAGGGCTTGGAAGCGAGTGGGATGATCTGTGCAGAACAGTATAAAAAGCAGTAACTCATTTCCTCTGTCCCCTCTCTCTGCTGCCTCAGAATTCTTCTGCACTGGGTACCCAGGGGCCAGGTTGGAATCCAGAAGGGTGGCTCTTACTGCCCTCATATCTGTGGAGTCACTTTTCTCATATCACCATGTAAGCAACTGGGTCTGAAACATAAAGAAAGGGATGGGAAAGAAGAATCAAAGCATCCACAAGTATAAAAGACAATGCAATTATTAAAGACGTTATGTAAAATACTGTGTCAAATTACAGGCAGTGGCGAATACTTAGCAGTATGCTCTCTGCTGTCTGTCTGTGTTTAAAACTCATGTTTAGGCACCTAACTAGCCAGCCTGTTCTTGCATGTCAGTGTGTAGCCAGACAATTGTCTGGCTGTTTTTACAGTGAATATGGTGCAGAAAATCTAGGAGTTTTAGCCACAATGACAAATTGTGACAGTGCAAGGTATGACAGAAGAAAATGTTAAATTGACAATGTAGGATGTAGCAGGTTAGCTTTACTACATTAAGCTAATAAAAAAAGCATAGTTTTACTTTTAAAAAAATATTTTTTAATGTAACTCTTTTACTCTCTATTTAATGTTCATGCTCCAAATTTTTTAAGAGTGACTTTGAATTTGCCTTTCTGCTATTTGTTGAGAACAGATGTTATTTTCTCCCAACTCCTCGACACCTGGAACTGGCAAAATTCCCCAAGCTCATTCAATTATCATCCAACAAGCAGGGCTTATTCAAGCAATTTACCTACAGGGGCCAATTCAATGCAAGGTGGAAGAAAAACTACCCTTTTCACTGAATTTAAAATAAACTCGAGAGAAATCCTGCTCATTTCATCAGAATGAGTAGCTGTGTTTTTTAAATTTAAAAAAAAGAAAAAAAAAAAAGGCAAGTTTATGAAGTCATACTCATGCCCTTCTTCAGTACGTGAAGTGTATGGAGATTAATAATTTTCTCCAGACTCAAATTAAAACATGATAAACCATAAGTTTTTGGTGCTTATGAGGAAGGTGGATAAACAAAAGCTCCCTCTTTGTAGGGTGTTTTTTCTGACTGAACTGCACACCTGTGTAAATGCAGTGCTTGAGTCATTCCTGGTTTACACCAGAGAACAGTGAAAGCAGCAAGATGGGAATTAGCCCTCTTCAGGTGAACTGATGAGCTATTCAACAATTCTGGCATAGCTTTAATGCTGTTGGCACAACCTGTCCTTTCCTGCTGCATCTGGAACCCATAGTCACCTCAAACAGCGGGAGTAGAAGGCCCTGGCTGAGGAAATGTACATATTTAAATTTCACATCTTTCAGTTCAGACTTCATAAGGGGAAGTTGTATATTCTTCTCAAGTAGACAAATGAAAGTATCAATCACGATATTTACCTTTAGGAAAACTGAGACCTCAGCATGGTGTTTGGCCACATAACTTTTCCCAGCACTGTGCGGGTTACCTGTTTTCAAGATAGCTCATGCCTAGCAGTGTTTTTGTTACAGCTTGCCTTAGCAGCTCCAAAACCAAAATATAAACTAAAATGGGTTAACTAGAGATACAAACAAGGTTGCAGTCAAGCAGTTAGAATTTGGATGAAAATTTAAATAGTTTAAACCACTGCAACAGTGCCATGTGGCAGGATGACTGACTTCCTTTTTTTTTTTTTCTTTTGCATTTTGCCAAACTCTGCTAATGTTTGTCTTTGTTTTCTATGAGCATTATTTTGACCTCTATATTAACCCTACTCTTCAAACATTGTGGACCTGTGTTGTAATAAGTTATGAGTTTTCGGCTAGTAGACCATGGGAATCTATGGGTGAAAGTGATTAGGAAAAGGTAAGTTCAGTCATGGGATGTCTCTTACAAATGTGTACGAGTTCCCATGCTGCTGTCTCTTTGAAAAAAAAATATTAAAGAAATTTTTGAAAAAAGACTAAGTGGCTGCTAAAAGGTATGTTAAACTATGTAATCAGCCGAATTTCAATGAGCACTTATAATTATGTCAAATAGCGTAAGTGCAAATGAAATTACATTTTCCCCATCAACTTGATCCACTTTACTAAATGTTGTGGTTTAACCCCAGCTGGCAACTAAGCACTACGCAGCTGCTCGCTCACCCCTCTCCACCCCCCTATGGGATGAGGGAGAGAATCGGAAGGGGAAGAAAACTCATGGGCTAAGATAAAGGCAGTTTAATAAGTAAAGCAAAAGCCACACATGCCAGCAAAGCAAAACAAGGAATTCATTCCTTGATTCCCATGGGCAGGCAGGTGTTCAGCTATCTCCAGGAAAGCAGGGCTCTGTCCTGCGTAATGGTTACTTGGGAAGACAAACGCCATAACTTTGCACATCTCCTACTTCCTTCTTCTCCAGCTTTATATACTGAGCATGACATCATATGTTATGGAATACCGCTTTGGTCAGTTGGGGTCAGCTGTCCCGGCTGTGTCTCCTCCCAGGTTCTTGTGCCCTCCCAGCCTACTCGCTGGTGGGGCGGTCTGAAGAGCAGCAAAGGCCTTGCCTGCTTAGCAACAACCAAACCCACCAGTGCGCTGTCACCACCATTCTCATCCCAAATCCAAAACATAGCCCTATACCAGCTGCTAGTAAGAAAGTCAACTCCATCCCAGCTGAAACCATGACACTGAAAAAAAGGAACCCAGAAATAACAGTTAAGCCTTGCATGTGGTGGCAGACTTCCTCTGTCGTGCTGGAGGCTCCTGTTGAATCTCATCAAACGGACAACGATCTTGCTATAGTGTTGACTTCTAATATAATATCTTTCTGTGAAACTTGTGTTCAAGTTAATTATACTTCTTCAACATATTTTCTTTCTTAGGATTGCCTTAAAATTTTTGAGTTTTAACCGCAGAATTTGCATTATTTGTGGTTTTAATTAAAAATGTAAACTCCCATTTCTTGTGTGTTTGAAGGTAAGGTTAGTCTCCATATGTTCTTGTTATAAATCATTTTCCAAAAGTTTGGAATCAGCCTGTTTGTCCAACACTCTTCCTTTTTGCTTTCTGAAGAATGTCATTCTTTGCCTCAGTCTTCAAGCCCGATATAGAGTTCTTGCAACAAATACTCCAAGGTCTGAATGCAAGTTGTTTTCCCAGTTGTTTGGTGTATGCAACTTCTTGAATGAGTTTTTTTATATGTACATTTTAAATTGGCACAATTATCTTGACATGTTTTAGCACTGCCTTTTACCTGACACAAAAAGTGCAGTCAAATCAGTAGAAAGTGTGAGTAAAAACCTTCAAATTAGAAATGATAACAAAACTCCTGGCTGTCAGAGAAGCAGGCTTTCAGTATAATGTTTTTGAAAAACTTGAAATCCTATTCCTATAGGTTTCTTAGATATGCTTTGAAATTTTTTTCCAGAAGTGACTTGAAAGTCTCAACTGCTTAACCTCCTTTACCTTTTAAGAAAAAAAGAGAAATTAATCTCTTAAATTGCTTAAGGCATATCTCAGAATTTTCCAACGTGTTACTGGTGTTACAATTCAGATGAGAGAGACCCCAGTAGTTACATTGCTTGCAGTACTGTTCTTCCCTATCTTATGTATGTGTGTGTGTATACATGTATATATAAATATATTTGTATATAGTCTATAATATTTTCTAAAAGTAAATGGAAAATTTAAAAATTACCGTAAGGATGTTGATGCTTCCTTGGACATCTGTGATACCATGGAATATTTGATTCCACTGCTGTCCTACTATTTAGTAACACAATGTTGAACTTCCTGTTTACAGAGACTTGGTTTGTCTTGGACTAAATCATTCAGCAGTCAAGGTTTCACTCTAACAGGAGAGGAGGGATTTCCCTGTCACAGAAGGTGGGCTTTTTGGCTCTGAGATTGGTGGCTATCAGTAGTCTAGTTAACACACAGTTAGCCAGACTGCATACTACTACTGCCTCAGCAGCTGCCTGAACTGTGGCTCAGTAGTGATGCTTCTCTAGGGCACAAGGGCTGACAGTTGTACTAAATATTGTTGCTTTCTAAGACAAATTCAGAGCTTGTGTCAGCAGTATGTTATAATTCTGTTGTGTCAGTGGAGGTGCGTCTGCCCACGGCCAGTTCACATTCACTGCTTGCTTATTTGCTGATTTCAGTTACGGTCTTTTTATCTCAGATTTCAAAGTTGTAAATGTGCTATATTGCCATG